CCTACAATATTCATATATATATATATATATATATATATATGAATATGAATATTGTAGGGGAGAGTCATGGGTTCTTTCTGATGGTATTAAAATTATTTCAAAGAGCATTAAAAAGCATTAAATCAGAGTTCCTCATTCCTTTATAAACCCTGAGGAAATCAACTGGAACGCCTCCCAAAGGATGAATTATGTAGATATAAACTGTTGTCAGAAATACAGAAATAAAATGTTATTGTTGCGAGTTTGTATCATGAAGCAGAGGCACAAATGACTATTATTCATTAACTTTTGTGGTCCTACGAGCTATGGTTACATTTCCCCCATCCAATCTAAACCATGGTTGATGGGAAACTCAAAACTCTGTTGACATTGCATGTATGCATCGTGATTATTTTACTCCAAAGATCTGAATTGGTGTAAAAATGGATGCCAATTCTAATGCCGTTTGGTTACAACTACTTCCCTCTTTGGAAATGAAATTGCTTTCCAATCGGAATGATTTGGATTAGAATCTTCATTCTGACATGTTCTCCATGAAACATTTTTGACCTGATCACACCTTTAATCTGATTAGTTGTGTCCATAAAAACGTAGCTGACAATGCACTGGAAGGAAAGGGAAACGCGACATGAGTTGTTTTTTATTTTCTAAGCTGCAGAATGCTTTATGAAGTCAGAGGTTTTCATCTGCTGTATTTTCCCCCTGAATTATGGGAGCATTTAGACCTCATTTTCCTTATTCGCTTTGTGCCTGATTTTCAAATTGATTTGATTGCAGACATTACACGAACCTGCCTTAATTCCTCCTGTTTTAATCACAATCAGATATTTAAACCAGGCAGACTCATAAATCATATGTTCACATAATCAATACCAGTCATTTCTAATTTATCGTCTCTTTATAATCATTTATTTCAAGTGGAGGCTGAAATGGAAAATGTATTTTTGTCTTTGAACATATTCATGAAAAACCCTCTGTTATTTCAGGGTTCAGTGTTTTCCACATTTGATGCTGTCTGGCTTTTTATTTAAAATATGTTAATGTCATTTGATTTGATTTTTTTTTTTTATCCTGCAAAATAAAGGAAATGGGATTTTTCCAAATCTGGCTAAGTTTGGAAATATAAAAAAGCGAGTATCTAAATAGTCTGTTCCTCAGGTGTTATTTTTTATTCCATGAGCTAATACACACACAAAAAAATCTGAATTTATAAAAGATTAGAAATAAAATGATTACAGCTATCTTTATTCAGCACAATGAGAAATAAATTGATGGAAAGTGACTTTTTTTTGTCATGAAGGAGGTGTTTAATTTTCTTCTAGGTTTCCAATTTAACTCTGGGTTCTTAAATTGTGGCAACTTGGTTTTAGGGTTGTTGTTTTGTCCACAAGTAACATTAAAATAACCTTGAACCAGACTGATTAAAGCTAGTTATGTTTTCTTATTAAAATAAAAATGTTTCCATGAATCGATGATGTCCAAAACGGGCGGGAAAATAAGGAAAACAGCTTTGCAGAATCCAGAGTTTTAGATTTTGTATCCTTGGAATCTTTGCAAATAATAGGCATGGAGGGAAATTAATTTTTGGGAAAAATGGGGTTCAAAGAATAAGCAGTTGTTAGCAACAGTGCTAAGCTCCAGTGAGCTGGATTTAACTGATCCATTCCTATTAAAATGGTGTTAGGGGCCCCTTAATAGCTGAAATATCATTTTCCTAGTCAAGCCCCTAGAGGATGTTGTGTCAAAATCAGCCGTAAAAAGGAAAATAAGTCACATACTGGTTTCTTTTGAGTAAGAGTAACTTCCTGGTCCTCAGTAACCCACTGTCCTGTAGGTTTGAGTAGCATTTCTGCTTCAAGGCTCCTGATAGAAATGGTTGCCTCGCATGCTGTGCTGGTGAAACCATCCAATCATGGTCCTAGGCGGGTCAGGTGCTCGGCAGCTGGAGAACACCTTAAACATGCAGGCTGGTGGAACGTGAGGACCCAGCAGGGTTCACAAGCTCTTCGTTGTTCCAAACTGCACTTTTTTTTTTCTGTCTAGTTGGAAGAATTTTTTTGGGGGGGGGTTTTAGAATCCACTAGAAAATTTAAGAGTCTACAGATGCTTTCCTGTGTTCTTAATGAACATCCATCAAAGAGAATCTGCTATGTTTCCCCTGAGGCGGAGCGAGGAGTGAATATATACAGAACAGTGAATATATAAATACCGGTATGTTAATGAGAAAATGAACATAAGAGTTTATGTAGCAAAATATCCTAATCTCTTTGTTTTAGTGTTTTTTTAAATGACTCTGACTTCATAAAAGTGTTTTTCTAATGCTCTAATAGGTATGTAAAGCATTTACTGTATGACGCATTTCTTTCAGACTGAGAATTTCCTCAAGCACAAGATCCGCAGTCGTCCAGAGCGAGCGGAGCTGGTCAGGATGCACATCCTGCAAGGTGCTGATAATCCTCAAATTCTTTCTTTTCTTTATTCTCTTTGTTTCCTGTTGAGCTTTAAAATGAAGTGGAAGTTCCATCCTTCCTTTAAAGAATCAGTTATTGTTAAAACAGCATAGTGATTCCCTCAGCTCCCTAATATCAAAAATCTCTTCCATTCCTTAAACCTTTATGCCGTTTTTAAGCCGACTGACATTTCAAGGTGTTTGACATTTTCCTAGAATATGTGACATTTTGGTTTCCGTCGCTCTCCAGAGACCGGAGCAGAGCCCTCACTGCAGGCCACTCAGATGAAACTGAAGAGGGCTCGCCTGGCTGACAACCTGAACGAAAAGATCGCCCAGCGGCCCGGTCCCATGGAGCTGGTGGAGAAAAACATCTTACCAGTGGATTCCAGCCTCAAAGAGGCCATCATAGGTTAGAGACCTGAGTCACACAAAGGGACGTATGTCTGTGTTGGACAGCAGGTGGCTAAAGCTATTGTTTTACCCAATGTTTATCTGCAGTTGGCCAAGTGAACTACCCAAAGGTTTTGGATGAAGACAGCTGCTATGATGCCGTGTCTCCAGAGCAGCCGGCTAGCCAGGAGTCTCAGAGCTCCGCCCCCTCACCAGGGGAGAGTAAAATCCCAGAAACCCCATCACCTGGCCCAGCACCAGCAGTTCTAACTACTACCACCATGCTGCAGGTCAGAGAAGGAGCTTCCCTGAATGCTTTCCTTAAACTCACAGCGCAAATGTTTGTTTCAGTATTCCTGTCAGCTTTTCACCATTTCTGTTGTGCTTCTCCAGCCTCTCCCAACAGCAGACTTCCCAAAGCCAGCCTCAGCCATCGAGCAGCCTGTTAGCTGTCCAGCGATCCACAGCGGCCCGTCCACAACTCCAGCTGCCCCTTCTAAACCAGGACCCACTCTGGTGAAAGTAAGCCACTGCCTAAAGCTCCCCTGAATAAAACAGTCACACCAAACTCGTTAAAACTACAAACCTGGAAGTAACAGCCCCTAGTGGCTAAAAGTTGCACTGTGCCGCTTTAAGCAGCTTCCAGGTAAAAAAGGGGGCTAAATTCACGCGCTGCTCATAAATTTGTTTAAAGTAATATTTGGCTTTGGCCCAAAACATGAAATCCCAACAAAATACAGTAAAGACTTGTTTTCCCCTGTTGAAATGTAAAATGTTATTTCAGAACCTGTTAAATAATGACATAATAATGATAGTCATGCTCCCTATTATTGGAATTTAATCTAAGACATTTTTTCATCTGTTTAATAACATTGAAAGATTTCAAATGTTTTCAATCTAATTGCAGCAAAGCCAACAGAAAACTCTTTCAGAGAAAACTCGCAGCAAGAAGGGCAAAGAGCAAAAGTCGAGGGTGAAAAAGCTGAAGTACCACCAGTACGTCCCCCCAGACCAGAAGCAGGAGGCCAGCGAGGCTCCCATGGACTCTTCATATGCTCGCCTGCTGCAGCAGCAGCAGCTCTTCCTCCAGCTGCAGATCCTGAGCCAGCAGCAGCAGCACTACAACTACCAGACGATACTCCCTGCTCCTCTGAAGTAGGTCTACACCCACTCCAATACCCCATAGAACTACCAAAAACACGACACACGGAAACTATGATTTATCAATTTCTATGCATCTAGTTTTGCTTTTATTGCAGATCCAGGCCAAAAATGATTAAAATAACAACAAAACCATGTCTGATACGAAAAACTAAAAGGATGCTGCTACTTTTACGGATGTTTTCTCTTATTTAGACATACAAGCTGCCTTTTTTATGTGGTGCTGCTCTCTAGGTCCAGACACTGGTTTAGTGAAGCAGGCTCAGGATAGATGGAAGAACAAATGTCTGTTTTTCCACTTCCTCCTTTAATATAATACCATTACTGGACAATCAAAGTCCAGAAGGTGAAAACCTTGCCTAGTTTTCCTTCATCGTTTTACTTAAACATCTGATTAGTTTCTATGCTGTGGAGCTGCAATGCATTTGCAATATAACCTCAATTCTAGAGGTGAGTATTGGCATGAGTGTTGTGATTCGATACATGTCGCGATACTTGGGTCACGATACGATATTATCACGATATTGCTGTATCACTATAAATTGCCATATTTTCCCCAGCTATCAAAATCAAATGATGAGATAAAACAGCAAGTGCTGTATATTTTCATCAGAAAATATTCATTAGGTATTATTATCCATGATGTTTGGGGTTTTCTTCCACTGTGACTGCCTCAAATACAGATTTGGTGCTGCACGCACAGTTAAAGGGCTCCACAGCGCTTTCTGCCAGAGTGGTGGTGCAGAGGTATCCCATTTTCCCATCAATGTTTTATGTAACCATTTTTTTTTTTAAATCGATACTAAGAAGTGAAAGATCGATATTATATTGGGCAGCCGAATATCACGATATATCGCCAAAATGATTATTTCCCACACCCCTACTCAATTCAACACAAAACAAATTTTAAACACTTCATATTACATATAAAAGGAGATTGTCTCTCTCCCTGCATCCCTTTAGGTGGCAGTAATGCCACCTAAAGTGTAACGACGAGTAGAAGTAAACACTTTTCCATTCGACAGTCACAGTAAATGTACAGGTTTTGGGTTGCCCACCTCTGCAGAAACTATGATCCAAGCATGTGGTTCTGTAAATAACTCCACTTCCTGTCTGATTTCAGACCTGTGGCGGAGGGGCAGAGCAGCAACGTTGGTTCCTTACCCACCTCCATCGTAGTCTCTTTGCCCGCCGCTCCTCCACCTCCTCCTGCACCTCCTGCTCCGCCTCGACTTAACAACCTGCTGTCCAACCGCAAGCCTGGAGTCCTGCCAGCCAACCTTGATGAAATGAAGGTCCAACCACAAACCTTGCTTTATTTAAACTGCCTTCTGTGTGACAGACCAACCCAAAGCAGTTCTGAACTTTGAATCTAAAGGAAGATTTTGCTTTTTCAGAACATTTTGAGCGCTAATTGTATTCTTTCCCTTTTCCACCGAAGCCCCTTAATAAAATTCAGTGCAGCCAATTTATTATCTGCTTTAGTTTTGTTCTTCCTTGTCCTGGTCTGTCTCATAGAAACCAAAGTAAGAACTCATGGGTTCCAGCTTGTGCTGTGGATGGTTTTAACCATGTCTGTGTTCTCAGGTAGCTGAGCTCAAACTGGAGCTGAAGCTGCGAGGCCTCCCGGTGTCTGGAACCAAAACGGATCTGATAGAAAGACTGAAGCCGTTCCAGGAAAATGCCAACACCTCTGCCCCTCCCACCATTCCCGCCGCCACGTCCTCCGCCTCCATCCCTATGGAGGTCACTACAACCACAACGCCCACCATCATCCTTCCAGTCCAGCAGGTGGCCCCAGAGATGATGTCCTCCACTCCACCTAACTCGCCCATTCCCTTTGATCAGTCCTCCCTCCAGCTGGATGTAGGAATGTCTGAAGCTTCGTCTGAAAACCAGAAGGGAAGCTCTGGTTCCCCTCAGCAACCTTTTCAGGTTCCTGAGGAGAAGGACCGGCGGCTCCATGAGAAGGAGCGGCAGATAGAAGAGCTGATGAGGAAGCTAGAGCAGGAGCAGAGGCTGGTGGAGGAGCTGAAGATGCAGCTGGAGGTGGAGAAGAGAGGTCTGATGGACCCTGTGTCTGTGTCCCCCTCGCTCACGTCTGTGAGTTCTGCTCCTGCAGCCCTGAGCTCAAATATTGTAAAAATGGAGGGCCCGGTTCTGTCCAACTGTGCTTCCACCACAGTCACCACTCCAAACTCCATCCAGGCTCTCATCAGCCCGCGACCTCAGCTGGTGAAGCTGGAGGACGTCACGGTGTCGTCAGGCAAACCTCCGCAGCTCCAGACCCAACAGCAGCGCATCACTCAGATCCAGCACCAAGGAACCACAAGCCCCCAGACCCAGAAAGGACCTCAGAACCAGTCCCAGCCTGCGGCCCCCAGCCTCCAGCAGTTCTTCATCACCCACCCTGCTGGGATGTCCCAGGTGCTGGGTCAGCCTCAGGCGCTCCTGACCCCAGCCGGCCAGCCCGGTACTCAGATCTTCGTCCCAGTCTCGCTGCCCAACAACGCCACTACAATCCAGCTGCCCAGCAGCACCGTCAGCCTGCAGGTGATCATACATTTTAGTGCTTAATAAACTTATCCTGGTTGATATTGTCTCATGTTGTAATCCCAGATTTGAGATTTGAGAGAAAGGAGAAGCTCAGTGCAGTGAAGTCAAACTAAAACAGTCTCTGAATCTCTATGAACAGATACCTTTAGATACTTTGGCAGATTACCTGTTGGATCCAAGTCTGGACTTTGGCTATGCTGTCCTAATCCCTGAATCCTTCCATGAATTGGCTTGCTGCTCCTCCTCTAACAGATCTTATAGGCAAAAAGACATTACTAGAATAAACGCTAGGTAGGGCTATAATCAGAGGAGACTGTAATGTTCAGCAGAGTAGGACCAAGTTTAGCCAAATGGTTGAGTCCATCAGAGGAGCTCATGTTGGGGGCTGTGCAAACCACATAAGTTTTAATATCTCAGACATGTGTTCAAAGGTGAATTGATCTGTTTCCTTGGGTCTGTTAACTTCATTTTATTGTGTTTTTATGTTATTGGCATTTTATCCGTTGTATCCACTCTGCTCTGTCCAATAGTGTCTTGTTTAAAGTTGTAGGGGAATCATATTTAAATTTCAAGTTATTCTGGCTTAAACATGTATATAAATGTACTCTTTATCAGATATTGTCCCAAAATTTAGAAAGTTTATATATAAAAAAAAAAAATCCTGCCTTAAAATCTTTTTTTCTTTTTTTTTTTTCGTTATCTTATTCAGGCCAGTTAGTTATATGTCAGCCTGAACACCTAAATTCAGCCAATCATATATCAACGGTCATCTGTCAATCAAATGTTTTCAGTCATGGCATCTTGATTCATATGTCGCAGCTAATATACACAACGGTTGAAATAAGAAATACGAATCATTTACTTTACCATTGAATTCCATCCCAGTGTTCACTGGGATGGGCGTCTGTGTCTTCGGCAGGCGTAGAGCTAACAGAACTGGCAGTGCTGCGAAGCAAGGGCTCAAACATGTACGGCTGTAAGCCTTCTACACCAAACCAAGCTTCTGCCATCCTGGCGTCCTCTTCCACAACATCTTTGTCCCCACTTTCCTCCTCTAAATGAAAAATGTATGACGGAGGCGACTCATCCACGACCTCCGACGCAAAACTCTCCTCCTCTTGCATATTCCCGCTGTCCATAGCGTTCCTTGACAGTGTCGTTTCTAAGTCACCAATTTAGTGCTGCTTGGTCCCAATGGAATTTCCCATTGGGAACCTACTAGCACTAAGTTCCTAACTGGTTAGTAAGATGCTTCCGACAAACCGGCCACAACCAAACTTCCCTGCGAACCTTCCGCGCAACAATCCCGCCCCTTGACAATCGAATTAACCAATCACATTCACTCAAATCACTCAAATCTTGCAAATTCGGGCACCACTTGGGAGAATTCGGAAATGCAACGTTTGGAACAGCCTTTTCCCTACGACTTTAATGTTAACTGTTCTTAGCTGCTAATTCTGGCATATTTACATTGATGCTTTAAGCTGACTTGTTGATAAATGTCCTAATTCAAATAAATAAAATTAAAATCTCTGGCTGCTCGTCATCCTGCTGGAAGGTGAACCTCCACTGCAGCTTTGGGTCGTCTGCAGTCTTTAACACTCTTTAAAGATTGTTAGATTTAGCTTCATCCATCTCCTATAGACTTATAGATTCTTGTCCCCCAGCATGATGCTGCCATCACCATGCCTGACAGTGTGGATGGTCTCTTGCTCTGCAGCATGTGGTCCAGAAAGTCTCTTTTTGGTGTCAGCAGAATGTTTGAAGGGCCCCTCTATGGGATATCTGGCCCTCATCTCAGTCCATTCCCTGTTTAGGCCAGAGTATATCTAGATATGATCTCTGCAGCTCTTCCAGAGTCACCATGGTGCTCTTGACTACTTCTCTGATTAATGCTCTCCTTGTCCAGTGTGCTGCTGGTGGTCCGTCCTCAGATGATGAATTGAACAGAGCAATGTTCAAAGCTGTAGATGGTGCATCTGGTCTGTCTGCTTGGTTACCTAGACTCAGACCCAAAGCAGCTGCAGTTGGTCTTTTTAGTGATTAGAGGACTTGTGAAAGCTTATTATTTCTGCATATCAGAGGAAAGGAGGATAACTGAAAACTGAGATCTATTTTCTTTTTCTTACGTCGGCCCTATTTGTTTGAAACGTAAATATTTGTGATTGTAATGTTTTATAATGTGAAGTTTGAGGTCTGTTATGGTGCAAATCTTCTAAAACGACTTCCTCAATCTTCTCAGCCCGTGTTGAAGGCGTCCGCCTCCTGTCCAGGTCTGATCCAGTCTCCACTTCCTCAGCTTCAGAACACGACCACGCAGATATCGACCAACCAGCAGCCTCTGCTGCAGGTCAGTCAGTCGTCCAGTTGTTTCACTCCTTCTAGTTCTCACCCTGTGTGGGATAGCTTCATATCATCCAGAACTGTGATGCAGATGCGTATAAGAATTATAGAAATTAGAAATAGATTCTCTGAGCTGCGTTGTTGTTAAGGAAGTGATGGTCTCCACAGACTCTGACCACTTCTTTGGGGAACCAGAGCAGAAATGAGATGAATCCTCAGCGTTTCCTTCAGCGTTCTCCAGACAACAGAGTGTCTCCACAGACATCCCCCAACCACCAGGTCTCCAACGGACCCCTCAGCAAGGTACTGATGATAGGCTGATCTGGTTGTTCTAATCTGACCCCCCAGTTTCAGTATTTTATTCAGCTGCTCATCTTCCTTTCCATCTCCTCCCTGCAGCCGGCCTTCATCCTCCAGGCCCCCTCCATGGGGAATCAGCTTCCAAAAACCAGAGAGCCCCCCCGCTACGAGGAGGCCGTCAAACAGAGCCGCAGTCTGCACATCAACAACGCTTCACAGGTGAGTTAGCTTCAACATGAATCCTCTAAAACCAATCGGCTGCAGCATTAAGAACGATGACAGACGGCTTATTATTTTCTAATCAGATCTAATAGACCCGGCGTCTGCAGATTGCTCAAACCAAAGTGCTTTTTTTATCCTCAGTCCAGCTAAATTTAACTAATTTAGAGCCACGATTGTTAGAAAAAGGCAACTTAAGTGTTTTTGTTAATGATTAAAACCTTTGCAGAAAGAAAAGTTATCTTTTTCTTCTACTAGATAGTTACATGTGGAAAATGAATATTTTCTCATTATCTATCTTTCTGTCTGTCTGTCTTTCTAGAAAAGGATATATTTTAGAATCGGATTAAAAGAAGAATTAATCTTTTTATAAAAATCCAACACAAAAAACTGAACTAAACTTGTTTCTTTATTCAAAAAGATTAGTTGGTTCTTTATTTAAAGTTACTGAAGAAGCTCCACAGAGCTGCAGGATGCAGACCCCATCAGTAATGTGATGGCTGCAGAGCTGGAAAGATGGAGGTTAAAATATCTCGTAAATACAAACATTTTTTTAACCTTTCTGTTGTCGACTGAATTTCTTGGTTGATCCTGCATGAAGCTCTGATTGTTTCTCAGTGATAATCTCTCCTGATTTTTTTATTTTTATTTTTTTATTGAATATGGACCAGAAAGCCCTTTACCACAGCTGCACAAAAGCAATAAACAAAAGACATCTTCAGAACCGGCCGGTCTGCATCTGGACACGATAACTTCAGAAAAAAGCACCCCAGTCAAGGCCTTATATTAGCCTCCATATAAAAAAACGAGCTGGCGATCTCCAATGGAGGATTTTACACGGTGCCATCGCAACAATCTCGTTTTTATCAGTTATTAATCGGGGTGTTTTAAAAGAGTGTCCTTTCTGCGGTCTGTTTGAAGATATGTTCCCCGTTTTTATGTAATGCACAAGATTAAAGACAATTTTTAGCCTTTTCATTAGTGTTTTTAGTCTTTTTGTGATGGTTTTTATAAATGCTCTTTTTACATGAAGAGTTTGCCAGAATAGAAAAAATAAGCCAAAGGCCCGACCTTAAAATTTTTTAATCAGTAAAGCAAAGATGGCCATTTACTTGTCCCACAGAGACAGACTGCAGGAGAGACCTTATCTTGATGCCGTAACTTTGTGGAAGTGCAACAGTAAAGCCAGAATAAAGCTGGATTTTCACTTCCTCAGAGCCACACAGAACATGGAGGATTTTATTCTGTTGTGGGGTTTTACCAAAATTTTATATACCGTGTCAGATGAAGGAAAACTGCAATTTAACAATTTCATTATTTAATTCTTTTTAGCTGACACTTGTTTTTATATTAATAGTCATTTTTAACTGACACTTGTTTTACATCAGTATTTGATTCTATCTTTTAAATTGTGTAAATAAAGTATTGTTAAAAAAAAAATCCTAATTTATTGCATAATTTTCAACAAAAGTTTTTCCTACAGGGTAGATATGCATTTTGTCTTCCAAAACGGTCTCCAAAAAAGGCCTGCTGAGCAGCAGCAGACTGTCCACAGACCAGATCTCTAATCTATTATCAGACTGATGTAGCTTAAAAAAAACTTAAACTGTTTATATTAATTAATCATCAGTTTTCTAAAAAGAAGCAACAGTCATTCAGGTAAATTCTTTTCAAAGCTAGATTTTCAGGCCCGCTGTGACAGTCGGATGCTTAAGTGTGGCCCAGACTGACATCCACACCGTCGGTCTCACTCCTCTGGGTTCCGTTTGGGAGGAGAGTGGATTATTTTTCACATTGAGAACTCAGACCAGTTTATTTCAGCGTGCTGATGGACAAATGTCTTGATGTCTTTCCAGGTTCCCACGGCGACAAGCCAGCACATGGATGACTTGTTCGACATACTGGTAGAGAGCGGAGGTGGGTGGTGTTTTAAAGTGCAAACTTCAGAGAAAGTAACTCTGAGCAGGAAACCGTCAGTGAGACTTGAGTTGATTGGTTTGATTTAAATTTTTCCTTTCATCAATGAAATTCTAATCATAAAACTGATTTTATGCAACGACTCAGATCATCTTAAGTGTTTCTGTTCTTCACCAGAATAAACCTGCTAGCAGTTGTTTTTCCTCAGAGGAAGTCATGGTTTAACTCCACATTCTGTCTCCTCCTCCAGAGATCCCTCCTTTTATCCATCAGGACCCTCCCGGCTCGCTGAATAAGACCCACCCCGTCACAGCCAGCATCACTACCCTTCCTGTGAACACAGCCCTGTCCCGCTCGCCGCCACAGATCCAGCTGGCTCCTCCTGCTGCCCTCGGCTCCGTCGGCAGCCCCAGCTTCTCCCCACTGGCCTCAGACAACCAGCTGGAAGCCTTCCTGGAGCGGACTCTGGCTGAGACGCCATCTGCGTCGGACCCTCGCACTCGGGGCCTGATGGAGGAGCTGCAGAGCCACCTGGCCGACCAGCAGCTCTTCATTCCTATGGACACGTCAGATCTGTCGTTCCACGATTCCTCCCCTTCCCCGTCTTCCCTAAACCTGGCCATGTTCGACCCGAACCTGGATAACATGGAGTGGCTCGACATCACTATTCCTCAGAGCCCTGCTGGCCCACCCATGCCGACCGGGTTCCCGACAGAGTTCCTGGAACCACAGGACATGCAGCTGAACTTTGACTGACGCAAAAAGAGAGTCTGAAAGGAAAGCGGTTCGGTTAGGAGGAGGGAACTCGGCATTTTGCTCTTCCTTTGCCAAATCCCTCTCTTCTGGAATCGGCAACGTTCTGACCCAGGCAGAGCGGCGAGCGTTCAGTGTTCGCACAGCTCTTCTGAGCAATGGCTGCACAAAAAAAAAATGTAAAAGTCGAGGAGACGAAGCCAAATATAGAAAATCAGAATGGATATTTTTGTAAATTAAAACACACTATCGGAACCTTTTCAGAACCGTCGCAGATGGTCCTTTCTCTGCGCTTCGTTTCACTGAGACGAGCTGCACCTCAACAGAAAAAAAACAGCTTCTTTTACAGACCAGCTGAAGGCATATCAATATGGTGGACTTTTCACAACATGCTCTTATTCCAGGATGAAGAACAGATCAGAGCGAAGTCTCCTCGTTTTCTCACTACATTTTAAGGCTCTGAAACACGCTGGTCCTGTCAAATGGACCAATCAGACTCGCTCGTCTCCTTCAGGCAAAGTTGCGACTAAACCGTAGATGGCTGGTCGGGATCAGAGCTATGCACTAAAGAGAACAAAGAAATGTAAACACTGCATATCCGAGGCGACGCCTGATGACCAACGTCGCCGGTTGTCCGTCTCTCTATAACTGAATGTAATTTTAAAGATATCAAGTCAAACTTTCGAAAAGACGGCAGCTTTTTTTCCCCTCTTTATGAAACAGAAGAAAGGGAACAAAGATCATTTTGAGACACTGAAGCTCTTCTAGGTTGGTCTGCTAGCAGCAGGTAATATCGTGGATGCTAACTTCTTTGAGCTGTTCACATCTAGCTGTCACTGCTCTAAGTTTAAAGTTACTGTCACTCTAGATAGAGCTATTAGGAAAAGACCAAGAGCTCTGAGTCACAGCTACGGTGGCCTGTAGGCTAAACTCTGTTTATTGAAATATTTGTACTTGCATTACAACCACCAACTTCAATCAGCTTTAATGGGGTTAATATGACTAAACATGAGGTAACATGGGTGTGGATGGAAATTTGAAACTTTTAAAGAGATTCTCAAGAGATTCTCTGGGATTCCATCGATTTCTCCAGCGCTTCTTAATGTTTGGTAAGATGATTGTTATCAGACCAGATTTCAGGTTTAATTAAAACTTTTACAGACTTAGGCTTTGGATTTAAACTAACCATGAGCTTTACCACCCCACAGCATGATGATGCTACCACTGTGTTTCAGCATAGGGGTGGTTTGTTTAGCAATATATACACTTAATCGAGTTAAAGTTAACAACTAGCAGTGCGTTTGGACCTTCTGTAGTAAAGTGGTTCTCTTTTCTTTCAGAAATCTGGTTGTTGGGCTCTGGCAGTTTGCAGTACCATACCTATCTTGTCAGCACATTAGGTGTTAAAAATATTTTCCAGCTTATATATCCCTCTCCTAATGCCACCAATTAAGTTGAAGGAACATAAAGTCTAAATTGTCTGAGTCGGTTCTGGTTAAATAATTTTTTCCCCCATGTAGGATATTAATATAAATAATTCACAGTCTCTTCTATGTTGGTCTGTCACAGGAAGTGAAACAAAAGAGCATTGAAGTTGGTGGTTGCAGTGGGTATGAATATTTCTGCATGGCTCCGTGTTTCTGTCTGTAGCGTGTCTGTTTGCACATGTATGTATGAGGGAAGTCAGCATGTTGCCATGTTGGCCCTAATGTGTATCTTTCCTTCTGTCCTCTGCATGTCCATGAAGGTGGTCACAGTTTAGCCGTCAAGACGGTTAAGATAAAAATGTCTGCTTTTTAAACCACTTTGTGCTGCAGTTATGTCCATGGCCACTGGAGGGCGACTACCTTACGTCTTCATGTGAAGCAGTGAGCCCTGCTCCTCTAGTTCAGACTGTTTCTTCCTCTTCATCACTTTGCTGTGGTTATCTTCCTCACTGAATGAGCAGCTGTTAAACTTTCACTTTATTCATTTTCCTGATTGGCCGTTTTTAAGCTTTTAAGTCCGGCCTACTTGATGTACCCTGACTGTTAAATATATCGAGTGAGGACTTCCTGTGTATATTTCTGCTTTTTTTTTTTATACTTTACATCCAACATGCAGAAAGCTGTGAAACTGCAGTGAAACTACGTGGGACTCTGATGACTGACAGCTGCTCTCCCTGTGAAATACTGAACCGTCTGTCTGATCCTTCACCCTTTGTCTGCGACAGACGTGGTTTAAAAGCACTTCATATCTGGGTGGCTCAGTGGGGACGGGGGTTTATTGATGTTTGAACGCCATTAAGCCAGACTTCAGCGCTGCATCTACTGCTTATTGCATGCCCCCCCCTCCCTCCACTGTCCGTCTGTACCACCCATGCCATGCCTCTTGTTGGAATGCCATATGTTTTGCACATCTTGTACATATTTATATAGATGTAATGCATATTTTTCTACATGTACCATCCATGGGCTTTTTATTTTGTAAATACTCTAGAGATGTGTATATATGAGTACAGTATGCTTTTATGTGTCAATAAAACTGGGTGTACTGTGAAAAGCTTCCAGCGTTTTTTGTTATTCCAGCTGAACACTTACTATGATGCTAATCCCAGTATTTTTGTTTTTTAAATGAGCGTTCAGAGCAGAGGAACCCAGAAAGCCACCACATTTGAGTTCGTAGTGAGTTTAAAACACTGCTTGGCAGCTCATGTCCATGTTTGCATACAGAAATGCATCTATTTTGTTTGTTCACCCGTACATAACTGTTTCTCTAACATGGAAAACAGGGACAAGTGATATCAAATGCCACACATTTATTTTGGTTTGAGTCAGGTTTGAAACCTCTCAGATTGGTTCCAGAGCTGATTCTCCAGTCTTTGACGTCATTGTTGGGGTTTTCCCCCCCTAGCCCAGGGTCCTCTTGCGCATCCTTCTCTGCTGGGTGCATCCATTCCTATATCTGCCCTCCTCTGTGTGCCTCTTATCGATCTTGGGCCCTGTAGGGCGATTCTGGAGCCGTCCATACCTCCTGCTGAGCATATTTTCCTCTGAGGAAGCCTTGTTAACCCTTCATATATGTGCATTCTCATGCATTCACACCGCAGAAGCTTGTTTTGTGGTGTTCATGGATACACACTAAGTACTAAGCAGCAGCTACAGATATATGCAACCCTGAATAGTATGGTGTAATCACCATAGGCTTTGCTTTCCAAACACATACTGACCGTGTACCTAAGGGATACCCGTTGCTCTTGAAGCTTCTTTGATCTTTAGTATGATTGACTTGTCCTGTTTTGGCTGTTGTTTTGTTGTGTTTTCTTTCCCTCTTGTCTCAGGCAAACTGTACATCTCCTGCGTTGTCAGTTTTTGCTGTTTTCCATCTGCTCTGTCCTTTCTATCTCTTAGTTCTTATCCCCTCTCCCTTTCTCACCTCCATTTTCGTTGTATAAAATGTTATTCCCTAAATGGTGGGGAGTGGCAGCCTAGTGGAATCCTGAGGTTCTGAGTTGGGGCCCCACTCCCACAGGCTGCCACTCTCCGTGTCTGAGCAAGACCCTTAACCCCACACTGCTTCCCGGGCGCCCCAGGATGACAGCCCACTACTCCCTAAGGGAATGGTTAAATGCAGAGGTAAAATTCTCCAATGTGAGATCAATAAAGTTCAATTCTTGATTATTATTTATTATTAAATTATTTCTAATTAAGCTCCATATATAGCTACCATGTGGAAACTTATGGCAACAACCTTAATGATCTGCTTGGGAGAGAAGCACTGTTGGGCTATCATCTAGCTCTGGGGTAACACAAATAAACCCTCTACTTATTAGAAAACTTCAACAAGAACAGGTGAACTGTTGTGGGGGAAAATGTATTCAACTATAATGAAAATGAAAGAAGATTGATTAATTTCTCATTTGGCAGTTTATTGTCTTTGCAAAAAAAAAAATAAGAGAACAAGATGACATGATGCCCAGCCCTGCACTGCATAGACAAAGTTTGTCTCACTAATTTAAACCCTGCAGGAAGACTGTGAAGGTCTCCACATACCGTTACCCAAACAATTACAGTTTGAAAAAAAAAACATGTTATGAAATAATTCCTGAGAAACAGTCAAGCTTATGAGAACCGTCATTTGTATCCCAAACACTCTAATATGATAAACAACCCTTCTCTCTTTGATACCTTGCCGCTCTGAGGCCTGAATGAAAGAATGACGCTCTTTTGACCAGCATTAAACACGATGTTGGCAGCATCATGCTGTGTAACAGGTAAACTGGTCAGTGTTTAAGTGATGGTGGATCGAGCTAAATCCTGCTTGATGCAGGGATGGAGGATCAACTTGAACTTGATTGATATAATGGATGGTTTAGATCACAGGAGTAAGAATGGCCTAGTCAAAGTGTAGAGCTAAATCTAACTTAAGACTCTGGTGAAACTTTAAAACATTTTCCATCCAATCTAACTGCTAAAATCTACTTGTGGCATTTACTTGGTGAAGTATGCTCAAATTTTACCTTATGTGATCATTTGCGTTCTGTCATTAAATCCCATTAAAACACTGAAGTTTGTTCTAACGTGACAAAAAATAGAAAGTTTAAAAAGACTTAGTTTGACGGAAAATGGAATATGTAAATAAATTAGAATGAAGCTCATTTGTAATGTTTGAAAATAATCTTTAACAGGAACTAAACTATTTCCATCAGGCCTGACTTTCTACATTGAAGGTTTTGTTTTTAATCTGATACAGATAATGTTCGTATCCTAAATGTGTTTTCATTTATGCAGGAAATCATCAGTCTGGACTTCATCTTACATGAAAAACTTACTAAAATGGATACAAATTTTTCTATTTTATTAACAAATTATTATATACACAGTATATATGTATAACTGTTGCACTATGAGTAAAATGAGGATGAAAACTATTAATGATTTATTAGGTTTTAGGAGAAATGGGTGCAATAAGATATATTCTGTTTGACTTTTATTCAGATAATGTTTGGAGAAAAATTGACCAATTTTGTTCCAATGTTGCTTCTTGCAATGGAGCTTCAGCTTCATTTGGCTCTCCACCTCTTTGCTAATGTTTGAGCATTGCATTAAATCCAGATGAGAGCTGGACTTGAAAACTGTGATCACTTCAGGATTCCCTATTTTTTATTTAACCCAGCGTAGATCCAGAGCTGTGTCCGACTTCTTTGTGCCGTTTTGTGAACAGTTTTTTTCTCAAGCTTCAGCTGCAGGTCAGAAGGCCTTATATCAGAGCTGGACATGATATCCACACACTGAGACCTGCAAAGTTCTCTGTGTTATGCTTTTCACAGCGGTGCAACATCTGATATAATGCAACCAGAAAGTGGTGCTCAGAGCGGATCTATTTCCTCACATCCTGCTTTGCATTTTTGCTCATTGTTTGTTAAAAGCATAATGACTGTTATTGTTAGAGCTGTTAAAATAGGGGAATTTTTAACACATATTTAGATGTCCTGACCTTATCCATCTGAAAGGTTACATAAGCAAAGGTGAATAGAGACTGTCATTATAAACATATAAACATGTAAACGATAATATAACAGACCAGTATTTAGACCAACAGCCTGTGAATTGAATTAATCTGTTTGTAAAGCATCTATCTGACTGGAAGATGACATAAGCAGATGTACAAGATGTAGAAAATCATTTCTCTTAGCTGTCCTGACAGCTTTTTTTTCTTACAAAGAAAGTATTTATATACATAAATATATGTACACAGGATATGGATCAGCTGGTTCACAGTTTGACCTGGCTAAAACAGTACCTCCACATAAAGCCCTGTAAAAAGTATTCTCTCATTACTATTTCAATCTCCAGGAGGTTTTTTAATTTGATTTCAATTTATATATTTTTTTTAAAAAAAGGAAAAAATCTTGTCCTTGTCTCACTTTTTCCTGTTATTTTTAGACAAAATCATTTGATCAATGGAGTCCATCTTTCTATGATTGAATCTGCTCTGGTCCTGGCTTTAGAGGATCTGTGGAGAACAACCAGCATCTTAACAACCAAGGAACCCAGCAGACAGGCCAGGGAGAAGGTTTGTGTTAAACAAATAAAGGTTTATGGATCACACAATCACCACTGCGAAATATGGTGGTGGCGGCATCATGCTATGGGGAATAATTACTTTAGCAGACAAGATACTTTGTTGTCAGATGTACATTGGTGATCACAGCAATTTAATCCAATCCAACAAATTATTATTATTTTTCAGCGGCCATGTGAGACTAATTATTTGTTTTTGTTTTTTGTTACTTACCTTTTGTCAAGAATTTTTGGCCCAAAAAAAAAAAAAAAGAAAGAAAAGAAATCAGGATGCTGGATTTTGGAGCTCCGTATTTCCTTAGAGTCCTTTCTCAAACTGTGAACCACACAGGGGGCGCCCTCCTCCCGCTGACCAACGGGCAAACAACCAGTAGAAAAGTAAACAGTTAGCATTCTACATCCCACCAGAGGGACGCCCTGGGCAGAGAGCCATATAACAGCCATATATGCACTTATTAGTGAATGTTCTACTGGATAATAATCCAGAAAGTCTACAATGTGATGAGATGGGAAAAAATCAAAGCAGCTTATGGGTGTGAATCTTGGCCTGGCACCGGGGACAGTGATGGGAGACGTTCTTGAGACTCTTCATGTAGAAGGGAATCAAGCAGCATCCTGCCACACAGCTGTGAGGGGAGGAGATATGCCAGTCAGGGATTTGAACCTCTGACTTATTCACAACAACGCAACAACTCACCCCATCAGAGAGCATACGAAGCACAGGATCCATGTAGTCTCACTTGCAGTGCTTTGGGTTTCCGTGACAACCACTTCTTCACAGGATGGACACTTTGTGACCCCTGCTGCCATCCCCAGCCTCTCCACTTGCAGCCAGAACAAAAGAAGCCGACAGAGAACCAGTTAGGGGAATCTCACCAACCATTAATGGAAGGTGTTTGATGATGGAGGTGAAGCATACCTGGCAGGATGTCCTCCGCTGGATCTGGTGCTGCAGCCGTAACCTCTTCAGGAGGAGGAGGAGAAGGAGGAGGAGGAGGAAGCATGTAGATGCCTCCACGAGGAGTCTCTTTGTAAGTCGGCAGCTGTTCCCTGGGAACTGGCAGCAGGAATTCAAACAGGACTTTGAGTAAACTAAAGTCTAATGTAAAGAGAGTGTATAGAGCAGGATGAAGGGGAAACATGCCTTCGTTAGAGTTTACTGTGAGGCTCCCTCCGGCTCTCTCCAGCTCCTCCTTTTTCGCCTGCAGGTCCTCCAGCTCGGTCTGAATGGTCCTCAGCTCATCATCATCATCATCATCCTCATCATCTTCAATGATCACTAGCAACACAGACCAATGTCACAGGGAATTCAAAGCCTGTGTCAATGCCTGGAGACTATAGTCATACTCTGACATCAGAAATATTTTATTTATTTAAAGAACGCTCTTTAAATATGTCATTGGTTCAGGGACCAGAAGCAAAACCAACCATTTGTGAATTGCAATCCTTTTGTTTTTGTTTT